ACTTTCACCACTCTTTAGAAAGCATGTAGATTTTTGACCTCACATGCAGATGGAAACCAAAGTGTTGGAATTAAAGCTACAGTGTGTAACTTTTATAAAAATATATATTGTTTACGTATTTGTTAAATTTATCATTATGTCGTGATTGTATAACATAAGACGGATAGTCTGTGAATAAATCACAGTACAAACTGCAGAAATACACTACTCAATCATAAATAACCAATCAGAAACAGTAGGAGGGACTTAGTGCTGTCAATCACTCTCATGCTCACCCCCTTCTCCCTTCCTGTATAATACAGGAAGATTTAGCACCTCATGCTAAAGCTAGTTTGCAAATAAACTGTTTCCTGTAATGGTAAGTCGTTTCTCTGCCATTAGCACATTGAGCACCACATACACACAGCTGATTGACAGCGCCAAGACCCTCGTCTTGGCTCTGATTGGTTGTTTCTGACCAGGAGCGGTGCATTTCTTCAGACAGCTGTAATAGCTCAAGGAGGAGGCGGAGGAGATCGATGTTTTTCACAGATTATCTGTCTCATAAACTCACAAAATGGTGACCGTTTTAAAAAATATAAACAAAGTCAAGGAAACAACTAATAAAGTGGATCAAGAACCCTGAATCTGGACACACTCTGGGTGTTTTGTACCTTGGCAGTTGAGCAGGAAGTAGCTCATGTTGTGGCTGAAGGAGCCGCTGATGTAGCCGCAGCTGTCGGCCAAGGCGCACGACAGGCAGCGCCGGTTAAACGATCCAAACGTGTCGGCGCTGCGCAGACAAAACCCAAACCTTTCATGTTCAGCATTTTCAACAGATTGTAACAGTTTTTTCTTCAGAGCGACCTTTACCTGTATAGATGTCTTCGCTTTGGTCCGTCTTCAGTACTCAGGAAGTATCTGAGTTATCAGAGGGATAGAAGAAGCAATGCACTGCTGTTGAGTTCGGCTCTGAACTTTTCAGCAGCGTTCACGGTTTACATGTGTGAGCTGAGAAGAAAACCACATGGAACCCAGCTGCTCACTGAAATAGATGCTTCATAAATGAAAAATAGTGGGAATAAGAGGGGAGGGGCCGTCGTTTTGAGAAAAGAAGTGGAGCACAACTTCACCCTCAGAGGGAAAAGCTGCTGTTTCATTTTACAAACATTTATTTTCATGTCGAGTCTTGAAGTTAGTTGTTTTTCTGAGCGTTTATTGGCACATTTGCACAAGAAATCACAACTGCTTTATTTATTAACTTGCAAGAAAAGTCCTCATGTGGGAGTAAAGTTAACAAAGAAGGATCAGAGTTAAATCAGATTAATGATTGGATGGACTGGCAGGAAATCTCAAACATTTTACTTAATTTTACTTAGAAATGTAGAAATGTGCATATTCTGCACTAAAAACAACCATACTGAGGTTCTAAACAAACTCTAGAGATTTTCATATGAGAAACAAAATAGCCTTATTAATCTTGAAATGGTTACTTTTTAAAACAGAAGCAGAAAAAGAAACTTACATGAGTTGGTTTTCCTCATTGTAGGCCAGAACCTGAGTGACGTCCCAGTCTCCAGATGTGATGGACTGCAGCGTGTCGGTGCTGGTGTTGGGCTGCAGGAACACAGAAGGAAAAAAACTCTTAAAAAGGAAAGATTTCAATACCAGCAAAGGCTGCATACCTTTTATTAAGACTACACTTCTGTATTAAAACGTGTTCTTTATTTCCTGATGTAATAATCTAATAAGTTTAATGAAAAACCAGCATAATTAACAGAAATTAAGGCTTGAAAACATCCGTCTGTGTAATTAATCTGCATTATGTTTCTCTTAGAGCCTCTGTAGTGCTAAGATGGTTTCCACTGTGTGTATTAATGAATATTCAGGTATATTTAGTATTTAAGCTAATAAAATAGTGAGCTATGAGTGTTTTTTAGGGAGGATCTCAAGAATTTATGCAGTTTAGCTTTTCATTTTACCACACAGTGGTTCTCAGACCGCATGACAAAAAATACTTTAGGTTCTAATAAGATGTTATAAGTCCATTTAATTTTAAACATGTTGGCATGGTTTATAAATACCATCTTACTGGAGTATAGTGTGGTAATTTTAAGAGTTGTGCTTTAATGTAGATAATCATAGTGACATGAGAGTTTTGCCACTTTTAGTTTTGATCTCATTTGACTAGAACATTTTCATGTCTGATTTGTTTACATGAAACCTCTAATATCTTTGTTTTAAAGCCTTCACAGAGCAGCTGAGATGAAATTATAGCTTTTGAAAAAACATTGATTTCAACAGTTTTGTCAGATTTTAATCTTTTTAGAAAAATAATGTTTCCACCTCAAAAATAAGCATTACTTTGTGTTTGTCCTTCACATAAAAATCATATTAAAGTTAGTTACATAAGAGTGTTCTATATAATGGAGGCAATCTTTATACCACCAGTAAAATCAGTTTTCAGTTGAAATGTGAGCAATAAATGGGAAGAGTAACTTTATATTTAGACTGATTCCTTCTACCAGCTGATTTTTCAGATTGCCGAGAGTGTCAGGTGGCCATATATCTGCGTTCCCTTCACAGACACAGCCCTGAGCGTAGCCACCGGCCAGACGGGCAGTCAGCGTCTAAAGCAGAGCAACTTTCACACTTTACTTTATTGCTCATTTAGGAGGTGCACAGCTGCTGTTTGTCTATTGGAGCTGAAAGCCTGAAGCACATTCATCTACCTGCTGGCAGCAGTTACTGCACGTTGCACCGTGCTGCAGATATAAATCTGAGCATCCTTAAAGTGTTCAGCGGTTTAATGCGTTATATGTTGAAAAATGTAGCTGGTGATGGAGGAAGAAGGAAAGAGGACTGGTTTACAGCCAGTTCAAGGTCTGATTCTAACCTTTTTTTCAATGTTATTAGGAAAGAAGCTGCGCTATCCATCCTGTGGCTGTAGCAGCTTTTCCCTGCAGGGTCGCGGGGGCAAGTGCCCAACTCCAAAAGTCATTAAGTGAGAGGCGAGGCACACAGAGGCACACTGCAGAAACAACCACAAAGTTCCTCATTCCTATTTAGAAAGACTAATAACTAGCAAGTAATTAATCTGAAACTTTTAACGGGTTAAAGTTACATAATGCAGAACAAACTACCTATTTTAACCTGAAAGCCTCTCTGATGCAGAGGGCTACCTAATTCACAGGGACTCGACACCCAGGATGCGACAAACTGCAGCAAAGTTTTCCACAACATCAACTTAATTGTGCTGCATTTCTACATGCATGAGCTTAAAATTTCACACGCATAAGTTACGTCTGTCGCTCAGCTGGAGGACAGCCGACTGTCGCCTCGTCGCACCAGTTCCATGAAATGAGTGAATGGAGAGTTTCTAAATTAGTGTTTAAAACAAAATGGCTTCCTCTAACCCTTCTAGATCGAACGTGTTGGCGATGCCGTAATTTGTGCGCTCTGAAAAATTCCAGTGGTTTCTGAAAGGCAAGACGTTTCGCTTTCCAGCCAGTGTCGGGTAATTAAGGTAATTTCTCTCATCTGAGAAGCACTCTTAATAGACGATAAATTGCAAAAATAACTGCTAGATATTGAAAGTTCGGGTTGTTATGGATAAATGGGTGAAAATATTTACTCACGGGACATTAACAGAACTTTGTACAATTAAAATAAACAAAATACTCAGGCAGAGATTTGAAACTTAGGACTCAAAGCGTTAAACCTTCCTGAAAATAAAATCTGAAAAACTTTTCAGACATGTTTGGTAATTGAGACAATACAATATTTTTTGAAAACGTGCAAAAGTGACGGTTTTTGGGCGGTTACCCAGGGCGGCATCAGAAACTAAAAAAGTACATTAATCTGTCTTTTTTGTTTGTTGTTCCTGAACAGGTTTGCTACTATTTGTGTGCGTGTAGTGGAGTAAGTTTCCCTTAGCTGCAGAATGCATCACCTGCTTTTTGCTACAAAAAAAAGAAAGAAAATCTGATAATTGGTTCCATTTTAACTGGTTGGCGTTCAGGTGGAGGAGGGGTTTGCCCACAACTGCACACATATTTTTATTTAAAGCTTACATAGAGATTAATCGTGATTAGTCAAAGCGCCAGCGTGTGATTAATCTGATTACATTTTTCAATTAATTGACAGAACTAATAATAACCAACACCTGCACATTTCTGGACTCCTTTTAGTTAAACTCTTGTGCACTGCAAAAAGACAAAATCTTACCAAGTATTTTTGTCTAGTTTCTAGTCCAAAGTTTATGACCTCTGACCTGGGAGACGGACATGGAGATGTGGAAGAACTTCCCCCGGCCTCCTTGAGGAATGGCGCGCGTGAAGAAGAGCTTCAGGCTGTCTTTAGAAAACAGAGGCTCCTCGTTCTGAAGAGAAAGGAAACATTTTCCACTTCTGTTAGTGAGAAAACCGCAATCAAACGACAGCTAAAAACTTAAAAAAGAACAATGACCCAATTAACAGTGAAACAAAAAAACGATGCTGCTTAAATCAGTCTGTAATCAGGCAGAAAATGTGAGAAAACAAAGCAAGAAACTTTAATTTACCAAATTAAACCATCAGTTTGAGAAATGAATCCCTGAAGATGTTCATCAAAAGCCCCAAACGCGAGTTAGAAATGTGTTGAACATCCTCACCTGCCTGTAGAGCCAGCCTTCGCTTTCATCTTCGTGTTTCTGGAAGAACAGATTGCCAGTTTTCAGTCGACGCACGGAAACCGCCTCAGGCACAAACAGCTCTTGTGAGGCGCACGCCGGACCGTACCTTTGTGCAGACTCCTGTCGTGGCCTCACACAGCGTCAGCATGGAGATGTTCTGGGCTCGGTTCAGCCAGTTAATGGCCAGCTTGGTTGTGGTGGCCCACTTCACCATTGTCACGTAGTACTCACTGAAAAACACAGTTAACAGCTTCACGCTGTGCAGCTTGAATAAACCATGAGTGGATAAAAGCACTGGAACCGTCCATTAGCTGACTGCAGATGATGGCAAAACTAAATTACATTACAAAAATCACACAGAAAGATATAATAGAGAAGCACATGGAGAATGCATAACAAATATTACCTTTATTAAGATTTAGGTGCACATTAAATTAAAAGGAGGACAGACATTCAGCTTAACAGCAGCAGAACATTTTCTTTTTACATAAATGGGCTCAAATAAGGACATTCATGTGAAGCTTTTTGTGTTTTTTTATTTTACCTGACAATTTGAGGCAAAGAAACTTGTTTAAAGTAATATAAAAACTTTCAGAACAAATTTAAGTTAAAAAAGTTGAAATATTAAATTTTTTTGAATTGGAAGTTGTTGTTTGCCGTCAGAGGTTAGTTTTTAATAAACTACATGTAGGCCTGTGAAAATAACGATAAATTGTCCCAAAAACTATTGAGATAAACAATGTTATTGTTTTATTGAGATCATCTTAAGGCTAATTTAAAATACTTAACTTCTTACACAAATGTAAGAAACAGACGTTCAATCAGGCTGCGAAAAAGTGAGATAAACATTTTCTCTGTTTTATCCTGTTGAAGTTTGGAAATCCCAGAGTTAAGAAAAGCATCTGCTACACGTGTCAAACTCGAGGCCTGTGGGCCAAATTTGGCCCGCCTCAGCATTTTATGTGGCCCTGTAGATTCTAGACTAAACACTAAGTGTGCTTAAATATTATCTTATCAATCAAATCAATGCAGTTTATATCTGTTTACTGCCAAATTAGATCAATCCCTCCGGTTTCTTGTGAATTATGGAAATTCACACAAAGTCAACAAATCCCCAAACTTTTACATACTTGGGAGTTTATTGTAAGTTTTTCTCAAAAACATTCTTACTTGTACTAAAACAGCTGCCTCAGCTTTAACTGATGTAAGATTATTATACAGAGAGTAATAAAAAGTCACATTCACCATCATAAATAAGCACAAATATTTCTAAATTAGTGCCACAAACATCACAAAAGAAATCCTGGAGGGACTGAAAAGATGAATATTTAATTTTAAGAATTCATTGATATTTTAACAGTTTGTGATCAAGTTTTATCAATACATTCTGGCACAACCGGCCCTTTAAGAGCTTTTATGATCTTAATTTGATCCAAAACGAAAATGACTTTGACACCCTGATCTGAGAGATCTCATTCTGAGAGAAGATATACTCTCTGCTTTTAGCAGCATTAACCACAAATACAAGATGCTTAATGGCTGTTAAGTAACTTTCTGGGCAATTATAGTTCTACCTTTATAAAAGTAAAAACTGGTTTACAGCAACTGCTCCCAGTCTAAATTATTAATGACCCGTCATGGCAGAAAGGCTAAAAACATTTTCAGGGCTGTTCTTATATTTTTTCATGCTGTAATTGTTCAAGAAAAACAGGTTTAACTCTGTTTCTGTAGGTCAAACCATCACAGGAACCACGGATCGATACAAATGGCCCAGACAGTACAAATGTGAACCTTAATGGATTTGGCCTGAAAAAATACCCTCCGACTGAAACTTTTATACTTGAGGCGTTTTACCGCTGGAGCTAAAAGAAACAATCAAATCAGTTCTCCAGTAACTTTGTTAGACAAAGTTTTTTAACCTGCTTTCTGACCGGCTGTGAGGCTGGAAATGCATTTGCAGCATTAGAGACCGAGCAGCTTGCTGTAACTGGTTTAACCGTGAACTCCACACCAGGCGGACGCCTAAAAAACAAGTTAAGAACGTCCATTTTGAGGCGGATGACGCACATCTGATGAAAAATTATTCTGGATTCAAAAGCAAAAGGAGAAAGGACTACGTTGGGCTTGCCAAGTCAATTCCTGCTGGTTATATTCTCCAAGTTTGAAATGATAATATTTACAGATGCAGCAAAAAGCTGCATTTGTCTCACCCGATCCTGGGATCGTCAGGTCGTCTCATCTCGATGGTGTGTAGAGGGCCGTTAAGGTTCACAACGTACAGCGTTATGACTGGGTTCTCCTCCCCAGCCTGAGCAGGATGAAAGCATCTCGTTCTGATTCTGTAAACTCTGTCACAACAGTGTTGTAGTAGGAGTCAGTACCTTTGGGTATGGATATTCCTTCCCCATAGGGTAGGGTGATCCGGTGAACATTGGCAGCTCCATCTTTGGCACTAGAGTGTCGTTGATGGTAGCGTAGGCTAACCTGGCTCCATCAGGAGACCACCAGTGGGCGATGTGCGAGTGGAAGATCTCCTCTGGAAGAAGAAGAAGAAGAAGAAGAAGAAGAAGAAGAGGAAGGAAACCAATCAAGATGACATAGAACGACATTTCAAACTGGGTGTAATCATTATTAGCAGAAGAACCCTTTATTTATTGGGTTTAAATTGAGAGTTTTTTGAGAACAGGACTGGAGTCCGATCCAGGTGTACAACCTTACAAGGTGTAGAAAATGGGTTACATAAAGTAAAGTTTTGGCATTAATGTCCAATCTTAGGGGTCTGATCACACTTTAGCCTGGATAAGTTTACATTTAAACAAACTCAAGATGGACTGAACTTTATCCAGGCTACTTCTGGTCTTACACTGATTTTCTCAGGGTGGCTGGCTGCTAAAATCGGCTTTTTGAGTCGATCTTGACTAAGTATAACCAATATGGTGGATCAGTTCAAAATTAACTGATTCTTGAATCCATTTGGATCCCACTGTGTAATTTGACAATTAGAAATAGAAGCAAGCAAAGATCATGCATGGAGTTCCTCAAGGCGCCACTCTTGTGCCACTTTAATTTGATGTCTGTATTTTCTCTCTCGATGAGATTGTGAAGTATTACAACACCTACACTGCAAAAACACAAAATCTTACCAAGTATTTTGGTTTAGGTTCTAGTGCAAATATCTTAGTACACTTGAAAAGAGATAAACTAGCTTAAGAGCAAATTTTCAGGCTTGTTTTGAGTTAATAATTACTTAATATTGATAAAAACGTACGTGTACTGTTAGCAGATAAATTAACTTAAAACATAGGAAAATAACTTGTTTTAAGTTAAATAATCTGAAAATGGAACAAGTACTTTTTCACCAATATTAAGTAATAATTAACTCAAAACAAGCCTCGATATCTTGCTAAAAAGTTACTTTGTACATTTTATTACTAGTATTTTGGTGAAATTGTCTTTCAACTATTTTAAGAACTGACCACTGATTTTTCCTGTTAATTTTAGAGAATATTATAAAGAAGAGCTGAACATTTATAAAGTAGATGAGGGAACTTTGTAAAAAGTCAGTAGATTATATTATATTATTGAGGGCAATAAATGTATTAGTGAGTGGTTAAATAGTCCAAAGATGTGAGCAGTCGTCATAGAAACTGTTTTGTTGCAACTAAATTGTATTAAATGCATATTTAGTTCGAGTTCTGGGCAGGAAAATTAAAAATTACAGAACTCCCTCTATCTGGTTTATCTGCTGCAAGTTGACAACAAACACAAAGTTCGACCACAATTTTTTATGTTACCATTTCCCTGACTGTCATCATCCATTTAATCTTAGTTTGTCTCTGTGAAACCTACACACTGCAGCACAAACAGCACCGATGGCTGAGATCATAAATCACAGCGGATTTTAATCTCCACAGTCCCTGCTGACTGAAACCCAACTCGGCTGCGTTCCTCGAAATGAACCCAGCGGTTATTTCTCTGCTGGCGCAACAACTGGACTGATAGTTGTTTTGGCTTGTTGGTCGCTGTGGAAAGAAGAGCTCCTGTTCACTGGACTGACCGGAAATCGCAGCAGAGTTGATGCTGCATCGTCTGTGCTGCAAACACGCACAGACGGCGACTCATTTTAACTAATTATGCAAATAAAAGTAGGACGAGGAAACTTTTTTGACAACAATCCGACTGTTTTATTTTATCAATGCATTTGGTGCTGAAGTAATTACAATCACACTAAAACCAGGAAGATAGAGCTTTTCAACCCCGTTTTTAAGTTAAACCAGGGGTGTCCAAACTTTTTGCCAAGTGGGCCAAGATTGTAGACACAAAAGTAAAAATCAAGCAAATAAAGTAGCCTGATATTTATTGTAGATCCAAAACTTGAAAGTGATTTTTATGACAGTGTATTAGGGCTACTGTAGATGGGGAATAAAGGAGTACATTTCTGCCAAAAACTTTGAAGTTGTGTGGTTATTCTCAGGAAGTTTCTAAAAACTTTGAAATTTTTTCCAATAAATGTCCTTGTTTTTTCTAAAAAAAAAAAAAAATCTGAGATCAATTTAAACGTTTTTTTTTTGGCAACAATATTAACAGGATTTGAGTCACTTTGTTTCAAAATTCTCGCTATGTTTAGCCAAGTTTAATAAAGAAAAAAAAGCTGATTTGGCTGCAGAAAGTTGTTTTTTTTCCAGTCTAAAGTCTCTGGATTTAACTTTTATTAAAACCTTGGTTACACAAAGATGAATACTTTTACATTTTCCTCTGTAAGAAAATTATGCTGGTATCAATTTTTATCATGATTACAAATTAAAAGTCTCCATCTGGATTTTTGGGCCAAATTTGTATCATTTTTGAATTGCAGTAGGAACCTGCATAAAATCAGTCTGAGGGCCACAAATGGCCCCGAGGCTGCACTTTGGACAGCCCTGAATTAAACAGTCAAAGCCTCATTAACTGGATTTTATTAAGGCTTGCAGAGTAAAACCTTTAATCTGCAAAGTAAAAGTTTTACTCTTGTCTAAATCTGCATTTCTGAAACATTTTCCTTCCACTTCACAATTACTCACCACTTTGTGTTGCTCTCTCAAATAAAATACGTGTAAATGTGTTTTTTAATATAAATTGAGGAAAAGTTCAGGAGGTACAGAAATGGTTGAAGGGCACTGTATACAAAGTATAAAACATCCTCCCAGTGGACGCTGTAAAGCTAATTAAAACACCCGCCGTCCTTGTGGAGGTGTGAAGTGAAGGAAGAAGGCCGGCAGCTGGAGAGCAAAGCCCCCTGCAGGCGTAGCGCAGCAGGATCTGAAACGGACAGAGCAGCGAAGCACCAACCAAAGCTAAAGTACATTTGCAAATATATATCTATAAATTTCCCAGCCGCATGGCTGTCTCCACCGGCGGCAGCTTTAAAAGGTCCTTCATGTGGACTGGAGGCAGCAGGCTGGCAAATTTACTCGTCTGGCTGGCGCCCAGTCACCTTAGCTAGTCAAGGAGAACACAGCTACCTTTCTCAAAGCATCCTGATTTGTGAGAGGAGGCGAAGGCAGCAGTGGGAGAAACACTTTTAATGAGCTAACTCTCATTTTCCCTCCTAAGTAATGGGGTTGTCTCCTTTTTTTTCCACAGCCGCCTCATTGAGACGATCACCAAGGTGAGCTCATCTTCTCTTTACTCGCTCTCCGGCTCGCCGTGCAGACTACATTATGCAGCGAGCGGAGCGCATTATTAATGCATGAGATACAATGAGTCGAGTGGCCGGTGGGAAATAATGAGTGCAAGGTGACAGACTTGGTAGAATGAGCTGATGAGATCAGGAAAATCAAACGTTTCGGGTCGGGTTCGGATCATATTTTCAACAACTCGTGCAAAAGTTTGCCCTGAACGTATCTAGTCACATGTTTAATGGGTAAAAAGTTAAAACGTTATAACCACAGTCGTGAATGTGGCCAACAGAGGGCAGCAGTGCAGCACAGAAATATTAATACCATTATTTTAGTAATCTAACCACAGCTTCGTTTTGTTCTGGATTTTTATATTAATCCTGCCGTCAGACATCTGACAAATGATGTAGATTGATACTGAAACGTAATTTAGCTCAGAGGAATGACAGCAGAGCTGCAGCTTCAAGCCGCCTTAATGATGTGCAAATTAATTAGAGGGCATGTCAGAGAAAGATCACTGTCTGCAGAGTCATCTCAACATAACGCGTAATTGAACTTCACACACTATGGGAATGTGCGCAAGCATTTGCCGTCTTACAGATGTTATTCGTATTAAAATGTTTTAAATAAAAACCAAAGCTGTTTTTAAATGATATGAAAAGTAACATTTTATTTTATTTTAAGATGTTTGAATGAGTTTTAGATGCCCAAGGCAACCGGAAGAGAAACAGCAAACTGAGAAACCAGATTTATCAATACAGTCGTTTTATAAAGACAGGCCCACAGCATCACAGATCCACCACTATGCACTATGAGGTGTTTTCCCACTTATTCAAACCCACTTGCTGCATTTTCTTTATTATCTATAAGATATATCTCAGTGTCATCTGAGGAAAGCATTTGGTTCCAGTTAAAGTCTCAACTGAACTGACCAAACGCTGCACGTTTACATTTGCCATGGTAGGAAAGAAATGTAAACAAACACCTGGCATGTGGAGCATCAGATGGTTGCTATGGAAACTTAGCAACCCCAAGATGTTACTGTTTTCTACTGTTTTTACCTCTATTAGCATTTTTGTTACCATTAGTTCAATGGAAATGTTTTCATGTCTTTCCCATTTTGAAGAGTGGCTAGGAACGATGGATGGCTGGTGAAATGGACGGACGGACAGATGTTATTCATATCTGTATCGTTCATGAATCTGTAAACCTTCTCCTTGCCAACGTTTCCAAAGCAAAAATATTTCAGATTTTGGTCAAAACAAACATTTCCACCTGAATTCCTTTGATAATTACAAAACACCAAACAGCCTGGCGCCTATCCATGAGACGTCCCCCTGAAACAGAAAAAAAAATCCACATTTCCATTCCCCCTTTGTTAATCTTTCCCTCCTCAGTAAACAAGTGTTGATTATGCAGTTACTTTATGCCCTGCAGGCTCCGACACAAACAGAGCGATAAACAGAAGCAGCCCAGAGAACGAGCCTCTCGACGCAAACAGCCATCACGCCAAACATCTATGAGGCAAGAACGAGCCGAATCAAAGCAACAGTGGGTTTTTATCTGGGAACGACAGAGCCCAATAAACAGCTGTTTCCTGTGGCCGCGCTGCACTGCAGGATGTGTCAGGACGGCTGCCGCCTCAGTAATCAGACAGCCGACAGATGACAGGACACCTGAGGTGTTTTGGACTGTAACACAGCTGCTGCTGCTGCTACTCCTCAATGTGTCCTCGCGCCTTTAATTTTGCTTTTAATTTTCTCTCCCAACTCACTTCAAACACACGAATTCGTGGATTAAAGCAGAACAGCCAAACCAAGAGGATATCGGAGCCTGGGAGATTATTTGGCAGCCTTTCGCCCCCTCTGCACCCAATCTGCCACCGAGCGACAGCCAGACCGAGCCTCAGCTTGACCTTGGCCAGAGGAGAGGCTGAGTCATTAGCATGGAAAATGTTGTGCCTTGCAGTCTCACTGGTCATTGTAAACATCACAGAGACTGGCTCAGCTTATAAGCTTCCCCCTGCAGACACTTGCATCACCACTGGGCCAAAGCCAAATCTTTTTACAGGCTTACAGATACAGTTTTTGAGACGGGATTTTTCTCTAACAGGAATGAAAAAAGGGGCTTACACTTTATTTACAACGGTAAAGAAATAAACCCAGTTGTTAGCATCAGCCTCTGGTGAGGAGCGTTTGGCTTTCACACACATAATTTACCTCATCTGTGAAAAAGTCCAATAGTTTTGGTCACTCATCTGAGAAAGCAAAACTCATACACTGCAAAAACACAAAATCTTACCAAGCAGTTTTGGTTGAGTTTTTACTGCAAATATCTTAGTACACTTGAAACAAGACCAACATAGCTTACAAATAACCTTTGATCAAGAAAAAATAGGTTGTTTTAATTAATAAATTCTTAATATTTCACTTATAACAAGATATTTTCCCCATGTTTTTGGTGAAATAATCTGCCAGAGAAACAAGTACTTTTTAAAAATATTAAGAAATTATTTACTTAAAACAAGCTCCCATATCTTGCTGAGAAGTTACTTGTAAGCTAGTTTTGTCTTATACAAGTTTATTACGATATTTCCACTAGAAACTAGACCAAAGTACTTGGTGAGACTTAGTGTTTTTGCAGCGTATATTACATAGATTTATTACTCAGAGTGAAATATTTCAACTCTCTTCTAGAAGTTCTGATGAAAACTCAAAACTCAGTGTCTCAGAAAGTTAGGATATTGTGAAAATCTTATTGCATGCTCATGGAAAGTTGAGTGAAAGAAAAAAATGTAGCAGGAAAATGTTAAGCAACAGGAACGAAACCAAGCATTTCTGGGTTTTAATTAACTCTAAAATTACAAAAAGTTAAAGATCTATTTTCTTATTGAGTCTACAAAAATAAACACGGGAAGGCTAACTTTACCTGAGTAGTTGTTTATCATATAGCATTTGACTGGTGTAATTTTAGATAATGCCACACTGTGTCAATGTTGGCTGTAATTTAAAAACAAAAACAAAAAACAGTGAGGTGAATCTGGATAATTTTCCACATAAAAAAAACCCAGAGTGCAGTGGAGAGAGCCAGAGCTGAACACAACTTCCGAAGAACCAACATTCGTGCTTTCAACATTTCTCTCCAGAAGACTGAGTCATTTTTACGAGCAAAACAGAGAAAGGCTCTAACAGATACCTTAACCAGCTAAAAATAAAAGCCGCGCTGACAGTTTTTATCCACAAGGCGCCTAAACCCTGCTGCCGCCGAAGCGAAAAACGCTGGGAGAAACATCAGATTGACACTGGAAGCTCTTGAAATGCTAAAGGAACTCTGTGGCAGTAGTACTGGTGGCACTACTGCACGCTCCAGTTCAAATTAAAAAGGCTTAAAGAGGTTGCTTATTACTGTTTTGGCTAGATGGAGCCAGGCAGTCGGACCATTAGACATCATTTACCCAGAACGTATTTCAGCCCGAACAGCATGGTGACGTTCCTGTGACAATATTTTATTAAAATTTATAAAAACTAAATAACCTACAGCATTATTACTGCATTGTTTCTGCATCTAAAATAAGTATTTCTCAAAGTGTATAGTTACAGCTAATCATGGATCCTTTTAAGGTCTAAATTTGGAACCAACTACAACTGAACCCAAATCATTGACAGTTAATTACTTGGTCTAGATCATCTGATCAATGTGTAGAATGAGCTATGCATTAGACGTTAGGACATTTACTGTCTTCCTTTCTTCTCTCGCTGTCAGTTTTCTGTCTAGCTGCTGTAAATTAGGACCAAAACTGTCACAACACACAAACTGCAAACACAGATTTAATGTCATGAAACGTTTTCTTCGTGAAATCATGGTTCCAATCCTTAGAGCAAACTCTTATTTGTCAGATGAAGATTCCCGCTGTGGTTGTAATGCTTGAATTCAAACTAATTATTCTGTTATAATAAGTTTCCCCAGTTCACAGTAATTTCTATGACATTTTCACAGCGTAACAGATCAGAAGATATATTCCTCAAACCAAACATTTTTAAATCTGAGCTGGAAGTATCATCCACTTTAAAGTTAAATTTGAGCCTGAAATGTGCCTAATTTATCCCCACAAAATTCAGTATTTAACATTTTGCTCACATTTACCTATATATTATTTCACAGACATTTCTAATACCATTCACATTTACCGGACTGTATTGAAGTTGAAGATGTGTTTTATCTCAGAGTCAAAGCTTCATCCATCAATAAATGATGAGTGTAAATTACTGGGCTGTCAGCGGTCCATTAATAGGAGTCACGAGGTTAGATGTTGCAGTATCGCTTTGATTAATGTTTAAATGCCAAGGAAAGAAGAAAAAACAAAAACCTGGAGGATGGACCTGGGTTTTTACACTGCAGGTGGACAGTTATGAATAAACAAAGCTTTGCATGCCTTTTCTGGATGCTCAGGTGGGATTTGATGCATTTTCACCTGAATCAGCAGAGATTCGAACGAGAAACCTCCATTTATGTTACCGAGAAGCAGAAACGTGAATTATGGCACCATGTATTTCTATCGGCCTGCAGATCCACAGATGCTCTGTTGCTGCGGCAGTTAATGCTCCGAGCGTATCAGAAAGAAATCTATCAGCTGAATGCCAACACAGCTCCCCGTTCCAGTTTAAAAGTAGAAACAGGCAGGAGAGCTTCGATCAGTGAGTTACACTGACAACTGACACACACATCGGCTAAATTAATGCAAATGGCCGATGTACAACACTCATTTATTTTCTAGGCTGTGTAAAGAAGAAGAAAATTAATAGAGTTTTTAATTTTAATTTACCTGCAGCAAATTAAGAGCTGCATGTCTGAAATGATAGTGAAGCAACAGACATTTTTATTGCTCATCGCTAATAAAAAACGTCAGGGCATAAGGAGGGAGGAGCGTAGAAAGCCTTTTAGTGTCCATGTTTACAGCATCATTTTTTACAGGAGATTAAACGCTTCCTTTTATAAGGAGAAGATGCAAATGTCAGTTTGTTATTAAGGGACAGTTAACCGTACATGGCCATTTCATAATTTTAATTTCACCTTAACCAAGGGCAGTAGTCCCTTTATTGCTAACGTTTTACATGTTTCACTTTCCAAGAAGTAGATTAAAAAACGTCAGTCTCGAAAGTGTAAAGTAGAGCAAAATAACTTCATATCGAGTTACGTTTTTATCCTTGCATAGTTTTTACAAAACTATTGACGTACTTTTTTTTCTTGTATTATTTTTACAAGGACATGTACAGCCTTTTTCCAGTGGTGGAAAAAACAACAACATTTCAGTCCCTACACTGAAGGTGGCTAAAGGTGGTTAGCTTAGCTCGATTTAAATCACAAAGTAAACCAAATATGCCTATTTTCATGTCTGATTACGACATATAAGGAAAAAAGGAGGACAGAAATTGACAGAAGTATGTGAATTCTGTCAATTTCTACATTAGCCTATATACAAAACCACAGCTAGCATCTGCTAGCCTACCTTAGTTTAATCAGATTTAAGTCCCAGACGGATTATTTCAAATGTAAATATCACTATGTTTGTCTTGTTTTTAAATAAATTAAATGATTGATATAAAATAGCCTATTAATTAATTGATCTAGTGGACAAATTATCTAAATATCCATTTAATCCCCAGTATGAAGAGAATGCAAAACAATAAAAAGAATTAATATAAAAATAAACAGACAGAATCTCTCATCTACCAAGATTCCACTGCATTTTTTTAACTAAAAGAGAGAATGAATAATTTACTAAATATAAAACTTTACCTTCATACAGCCAGTCACTGAGTCCGTTGAAGATGACGCTTTCCTTCCCTGTAGACACCAGACGAATCGAACGGCTCTCCACCTTAGACCGGTAGTAGATGTTGTTCTCAAATATGAATATCTACAGGGGATAAAATATGATCAAACTGATGCCTATAAAAAGCTTTTATAAAGCTGAATATTACAATGAAGTGTTACTAAGCAACTAATCAATTAATTGCATGATACATTAAATCGTCCTCTGTAATTTCCATTCTGATGATTCATATTTTTTGAAGGGCTATTTTGTTTACAGACTTAATGATCTTTGTTTTATGATTTTGGTTGTGTGTGGTTTTTATGTCTCCTTTTAATTTATTGTTTTTAGTTGCTGTGTTTTATTTTGCATATTTAAAAGGTTCTGCACAAAATTAAAATTTGAGATGAACTTGCATTGTGCCATTATCAATATATTGCTTGAAAATCAAATAATGTTGTCAAAACAACATTATCGTTATCAGAAAGATAAAAAGCCAAAATGTTACTACACACTGGCATTAAAAAATGCACATATTAGTCTAATTTGGATAATTCATTGAGTCATAGCATTATGACACAATGTTAAAAATACATAGTTTTTTTTAAAAAACAGTTCTGTTACAATGCAAATAAAATGGAAGCCTTTTAAAGTCTTATGAAACTGCAAACCATAGGGAACGAGGTTTCGACTTTGACTCTAACCCCACACAGTCCTGCAGGGCTTTCAAGATAACTGAAGGTCAATTCAGTCATTAAGGAGAATAATGGACCATCAGAGCCTTACAGTAAGCGAGGAAAGGCAGGGCTGCCCTTTGGGTGAGAATTTTAAGATGTTACTGCTTTAATATACCACATGGAAATCGATGCTGTTACAGAAAAAAACTAATTTGGCATGTTAGGAAGTAAATGTCTTGGCCTCGAGGAAGTGTCTTGGTAGTGGTTTGAGAGAGATTCTCAAATAACTATTCACTCTGTGCAGCCTGAATGATAAAGCTTTGCACAGCAGGATGTCCACTTCTGTTTCAGCCTGCTAAGATTTTTCCTTCTTCTAAAGCAGGGGCACAACTCGTTTTTATGTTGAACCACTTTAAGATCATGAATGCTCTTAAAGGGCCGGTTGTGCCTGAATGTATCGATAAACCCTATTAGAACTGTCTCTGCATTTGATAACTTCTTCTAAAATTAGATAACATTTATCAGTCCCTCCATAATTTTGAGTTTTTTTAAGACTCATAATTTTTTCTGGTGCTAATTTAGAAATATTGCAATATTTTCGCTTAAGTATGATAACAAATTTGACTTTTTATTACTAGCAACTAAGTGTATTAGTAAAATACACTGCCACCTGCAGGTGGGAGTTGGCATCACTTAAAATAAATGTTTTTGATAATTGTTCTGGGAAATTTTTAATAAACTGCTCTGCACAAGTGCAAAAAATTATTGATTTCAAGTTAATTTCCATGACCTCAGTAAAACTGGAAGTATTGACTGATGTAATTTAGTAGTATAGATAAAAACTGCTTTGGTTTGATTAATAAAACAACATTCAAGTCATCTTGAAGGCTCTACTTATGCAATTCCTCTGGAGTCTTGAGAGCCACATAAAAAGCTAGGGCGGGCCAGATTTGGCCCCTGGGCCTTGTGTTTGACATGTTGTGTTTGAACTGAAAACCAGCCAAGATTTCAGCAATTTATCCACTCGCTACACCGTCTCTGCAGTTTGACATTTAATATTTGTGGTGAAAACTTAGCCACTTAAGTTTCTTCAGCAAATGCTGAATCTTTAACAGAAAAAAAATACAGCAGAATCTGTCACAATTAGTTTCTCTTGAGGAGGCGCAAGCTGTGGGCCTCATGTGCTTTGGTGACACTCCAATGCACACCAAGTCCCGGTATAGAAGCCAATCTAGGCCACAACAAAGAGAGGAGACCTGGCCCCGTTCTCTGAGGGAAGGTGAAAATCTGCTCTGAGGATAACTGGAGCACAAAACAGTTTGAAGACAGGGGATAGTTTGTTGGGATTATGGAAGTGAAACTAAAACAGCTGCGACAGCATTACTCTGCTGTACTCAGGCAAAATGAACTGCAGCTCCTGTGTTCCTGGACATGTTTTTCTATACTTTGCTAATTTGGCATTTCAGTGCATTTCAGAGTCAACATGACTTACGCATTTTGCCAAATTTTTTAACATGTTGACGCATAAATGCTTAGTAGCTTAATATAAGTTAAATTTTAGTCTGTTGTTCACCGTGTCTCCAAAAGACACAGACTGCATTGGTTATTATTTAATCAGGGCTGGACGATATGTCTAACAAACAAATCACAATAAGATCACTTCATATTAATCAAAAATGGATCATTATTGATTTGTTTTAAACATCCAAAATATTGCCAAACTGTTGGCATGACCTTCTAGGTTTTATCCAGTTTTCTCTCCAAACATGGTCGCAAAACATTAAACTGCTGCTGTGCAAGTTACTCAGCAGGTTGTTGCTAGGTAACCACAGAATGAGTTGCTAGGTAACCAAAGAATAAGTGAGTTGCTAGGTAACCAAGGAATAAGTGAGTTAGCTGATGCCACCAACCTAGCTTAGCTGGCTGAGAGTTTGAGCTAAAGCCTTTCCTCTGCCTACATCCCCCAGAATGCCGTGCTGTTCTGGATCAAAGGTCAGTAAAATTATTGAACGTTCTCTCAGGTGCATTATCTATCGATTACGTGTCTATCATGATATATATTAATGATTTATTTCCCAGCCCTAATTACTGACAACTTGCTTTATTTTGGCCCATCACAAATAAATATTATAAGCAAAATACCTTGAAAATAAAACTAACATTTTAAATAATTCAAATGGTGTTAACATTTTTGGTAAGCACCATAATTTAGTAGCAACCACTAAGCAGATTTTTTTTTGTAAAATATGGATTTATTTTTTTAAATATAAAACCTAATTTCACATGGTGTCTTTGCACCAGTAAAAATTTTCTTGTACTTAATCTTCATAATTTTAATTCCATGACTAGATATCTCAACTTATCAGATGATTTTATGTTACTTTCTGTACACTAACCCTATCGACTTAGCAGAGCTGCCAATCAAAATCAGTGATCAAAAGCATTTTAAATTCTTTTTTGTATTTACACCACACAGATTTACAGATAAAGAATAGTCAGTGGACAGAAATTAAATAAAAAACGCTTCATATATCACATACAAACCCGACTGGAATGTATTTTGACTGACAGTTTGTTGAACTCGTATAAAAAGTGGGGAACTAACATGATTTGACGATGCAAATCAGACATTTCTAGTCTGATTAACAGGAACTGTGTTCAGAAATTAATTTGGGAAAATGCCTGTTATGCAGTTTCTTGCCCTCTTGTTCATCTCTGAAAAGCAACAGAAGAATTAGGCCTCCTGAGGCCTCTGTAAGTATCCGTACTTCTGTGAAAGAGAATCGGCTCCATGTGGAAGATTAGCCGCCTACAGAGTGCAGAGGAAAAAATTACAGGGGGATTTACTTTTCATGGTAAAAGGACTGTAAGAAAAACTTTATGCTGCAAATTTTCCAGACTACATGATTTTCAGAGGCTAACAAATAGCTTGATGTGAGTAAATGACAAAAAAGGAGGCTCGATCAAGAACATGAAGGATTTGAGAACAGAATACAAAAGATTAGATGCAACATTTAACAACAGTTTTCCCTCAGTCCCATGTTTGGCATCGTTTCTGCTAAAGGCCATTTCCTGTTAGCACATCTCAGCTGCTAGGAGCGAAACCACAGCATGAACGATGAAGCAAAATTTGAGCCCACATCAATCTACCAGTGAGCTAATTAATCCTCCGATCAGATAACGGGTAATTAATAGCATTTTGCTTCCGGACGTAATCACTTACATTCTGACCGCCCTGTAAACCAGCATGCTGGAGCTCATTAAGACTCCAGCTGATCTAGAAGATGGACAACGACTCAGTTTAACCTGCATCAGTTTGCTTAGACGATAAGTGCTAAAGTATGTGGTCATTATGTCTCCAGAGGGTCAGAAATGTCGTCACCAATCAATGATAAATCTGCCTCATGAACCGAAGCGATGAAAACCACTTGAGGACATAAATTATGGACGTTAGGAATAAAACCTTGGTGCTTGTCCTTGACGGCCAGTTGGAAGGCCACGAGTATTTTATGTAGCTGGAGAACAGCTTTGGGAAGGACAGGACTCAAACTTTAGCTCTAAAATATTTCAAGACATACACGGCAGAGTGTAAAACCAATGCTTTCTCGTAATCTTTTAATGCCAAAAAATAAAATAAAATTCAAACAAGTAAGAAAGTCCATAAAAAAACAAAACGATTCTTGTTCGAACATGTCTGCAACAATACAGTTTTACAATTTGCAGTACCGTGATTCTGCCACACGTTGCGCTTATCGGGTTATTACAGGGATTTCACTCCTGCTGTTGCAACCCAGCCAGCATGCCTAGGTGGGCCCCATGTGGGGCCATCGTGGAACCCGCGGAC